CAAAGATGCACCCGCTGCAGAGCACCGCAGATGCAGCGTGTTTACCATTACACACACCTTAATATACCCCATCTCACTTCAGCCCAGACAGCATGCATGTGCACACATTTGTCCGTTCAACATCACAAAAGCACGGGCGACCCATGGAGCTCTTCAAGGGCAGCGCTAATGCGATGCCACAGCTCTATCGGAGCCATCCGCGAGCCCAGTGTTTTATTACAGAGACACGCCGAGAGGCTGGGGAGGGAGAAGTGACCGTGGTCCGTTGATATAATGGCCTCGCTGGCGTTAGTGATATACTATACAGGTGAGCTCCAGGAAAGAGCAGCAAAGGAGTCGGGGAGGGTGAAAAAAGTGGCGCACAGAGCGGCGTTTGCATGTTTTATAGAAAAATACACATGAGATGGGATCTGAGAGATAGAAGAGCCGCTGAGGCTGCAGCTCAATACAGATCTGTGTGGGGCTGCTTGAAGGGAGATTATAGAGCTGTATTCCTGGAGCTGCTGTGGGTGTGAGAAAGCAAATGGAACCAAGTCCAACAAACACTGATGGGCTTTCCTTTTTTGGATTTAATAACAGCTTTTTTATTCAGCCCTCTCACCATGGCACCAGAACCTGTCTTTAATTTGGGTTCTACGTCTCAGAATGCTCCATATCTGAGCCAAAGCTTATGATTTACGCATCATAATGGCTATCAATCACCAGCAATAATTCAGCTAATATTCTCATTACCTCCCACTACTCATCCATCAATCAAAGGCAGAGCCAAGCTCGGCTGCAGGAGTAAATGCAGGAAGAGGTGGGCGATCAGCGTTCGGCGCTAGCCAAATCGGTGACGCTCTTTGATCGGGTCTCTGCTCTGCTGCTCCTGCAGGAGCGAGGAGTCTCACGGCCAGGTCAGCACTCCTGCCGCACATCACCAAAGCCAAACACGTGGAGAAATTTTAACAATGTGACTGTGCCACACCTCATCGGCCCCAGGGACAAGGCTCAAGAGTCACTCTCCCCATAATCACCCCGACAGCTAGAGCGAGGAGGAGAGGAGAGACAGAAAAGGCTGAAGAATGGTCCCTCCATCACAGATGTGTTCTGTTTACGCTGTTTCAGATTTCAGTGTCGGACAATCGTAATCAATGGTTTTTAACCCTTTGATGCATAATGGTTACTGCAGTGGACAGGTACTCAAAATTGCACAGCTGATGAAGACTGATGCATTAGGGAACAGGCCAGGTGGTAAACAGACTAGAAAGAAAATCAATTAAAACCCTAAATGAAAAATTCACTTTATGAGAAACACACTCCTATAAATACAGAAAGACACATAAGAGGCACCTGATTTTACAGCATACTGAGGCCTAGTCCACACGTAGCTGGGTTTTTGAAAACGAATATCCGCCCCTCCAAAAACTTGCATCCACACCACCTTGTTTAAAAACAAAACTCTGTCCACACGTACCCGGATGAATACGTTGTTAAGGACATGCCAGACCTGTAGGCGGCAGTACTTCCTCCGTTCTTAACCTCGTCCTTCATCTGTGGTCTTCCGCAAGGAGCAGTAATTCCGCTTGCAAAAACAAACAAGCAGAAAGTGCTTGGACATTTGATAAAGCGAGCGCAGCTCCGAGGGCATCCATGATGCCGGCTAGTGTAAACACAGGTCGCACACGTGATGTCAGCATTTTTTTTGTCGCAGAAAGTGACGTTGCGGACCTTAAAACTCCGGTTTTGTCCGTCCACACGCAGACACCCAAAACGGAGAAAACGCAGATCTTCACTTTGGCCGGAGTTTTTAAAAAGATCAGTTTTCGTGTGAAAAAACTCCGTTTTCGTGTGGATGACAGGCCAAAACGTAGAAAAATATCTACTTTTTGGCAGATCCCAGGCTACGTGTGGACAGGGCCTAAAACAATTAGATTTCTCTGGGATGGGTTACTGGATCCACCTGAATGCACAACGTAAATAAAAAACAAGGCTGAGCCTCTTCAAAGAAGTCAGCTCTAGAAACGGCTCTGGAGTTTGTGGAAGAACATAAACACCCAGCAGACTTCCACCACGGCGCTGATCTGATGCTGCTCTTCCTCTGATGGCTGAGGATCCTCTCAAACGTCTTGTTAAAAAGGATAAGTCTCATGTTTCCCTCCCCAAGAACATATATGAGGAAAGACAAAGCCAGTTTTTCTCCCCTTTTACACACTCGTCCGTTTTCTCAGCTGAATCAGTAATCAAAGCTTCTTTTTTTTTCCTGTATCACTGTCAGAGCGTGCAATCTTGCACTTCAGTGTGAACTGATGAATATTAATGGTTGATTACTGATTCTCTTTGTGCAAAAACACACACAATGCTGTGCTGGATGAAAGCATTGGACAATGGGATGAAGGATCAGTCAGTTTATGTTACATTCCAGCACTGGAATCCATCATCAGCAATCCAAAGATGGCCGTGTGTTAAATGATCTGAGAAAAGGAAAAGTCATGTCTTAGACTGCCATCAGTCTGCCTCACACTACAAAGAAAACACATCCTGATATCACTTTGGTGCAAACACTACAATTTGTTGGCTGCTTGTCTTTTTTCCGACCGCGTTTCGCCTTTAATGGCCCGTTGTAATTGAGTTGCTTTATTGTTTGTCTGAATAATTGAAGCTGCTCTGACTGAAGATGCATAAATGGTTGTCTGACAGTTTGGATGAGTTCAAATTTCTTTTCAAAACCAAGACCGCTTTGGGAAAGCAGGCGCCGCTCGATGTTTCCGGCTGCCTCCCATTGGTCCCGGTTTAAAACGGAGAAAACATCAACGGCGCTTTTGCACGTTTCCATGTCCTGGTTCCTAATGGTGGGATTTTTCTGCAGCAGCACCCTGGGCTCATGATGAGTAATCCTAAAATCCCTTCCAACCCTGTGTTCATTTTAAGCTACAGCCAAGCAACAGGTTCTCACAGCTGTCTTCCCTGCTTCACTTTAACAGGTACTGCATGTCTACTCCCGCCGCCGCTGCCGGGACTGTCGGGGGCTGACGAGCCCGTCGCTCACTGAATCACAATGTCAAGAAAAGGAGCGCTGAAGAAGAAATGCGTGAGGAGGAGAAGGGGGGCCTGTCATGCCTCGTGGCCCTCCTTCTCTCCCCCCTTCCCCATCTCCCTGCCTTTATGCTAATAGCCTGAGCAAAAAGAAAACACAGTGGATGACGTACGGTTAAAGATCGATGGTGCAATCGCCAGCTCTCACTCCTCTTTCCGTTGCTAGCGTAGATGAGTGGAGTCCGGTTGCAGGTGAAGATTAGGGACACGGGTATAATTAAAGCTCAGAGTGCAGCAGCAATAAACAAACTACGAGATGGAAGCAGTCCAATCTTGGCCTGGGCTTCCACGATAATCGTCTACCTCCGACTCGGGCAGCCTCACACGCTGCAGAGCGAGCTGTACGGCCCATTTGAATCACACCTCCCACCCGCTTGATTCGTCTTTTAATTAAGCGTGAGAAACATGGAAAAGGGGAAGGAAAGGAGACGAGAGCTACGGAGAGGGAGGGAGATTTATAGTCTTGAACCGATGCAGTGCCATCTTGGCCGAACTTATCTTGGCTCTGCCAGCCACACTCATGTGCACTTAACCTTGCAGTGAACGCAGCCCGTCATCACAGCTTCGTAAAGGGGCTGGCTCACCCTTTATTCTATACCTCACCTAATCCTCGCTCTGCCCTTCACCAGGAAGGTGCGCATACCCATGACTAACCTGTCCTGCAGACAAAGGTTCTGAGAGGACAGTGCAGCTGGACAAGAGTGCGCCGCCGGTTCTCTGTGGACACATTTCAGGGTATACGTCCAGGGATGCTGAGCACCGAACGCAAGACTTCCAACATGATTATGTAACAGTTAGCCAGGTGTATATGTCTGTGTAGTTGTTGATGTCTCACAGCTGCGCCGGTGCCCTCACACTCCGCGCTCACGTGTGGACGCCGTGGCCCCCGCGAGTGTTAGTTTCTTTCAGCATCCTAATGAGAAGTCATTGTAGACTTTAGCAGAGGCCTCCTAAATGACTCGTCTGAAAAATTAATGCATCACTTAACAGCATTTTGTGTTTGTTTGGTCTTCTGAAAACACAGGTGCAAATCCCCACTCACTTGCAAATATTTAATTGATGCTGCAGCGTGACAAAATCCAGGATAGATGAAGAAAAAAGGGAGGAAGAGGACGTTCCAAGTGTTTTTTTTTCAGGTGCAACAAATACAAAGCCAACCCTGCAAGCTGCCGTGTGTGAGGAGGTAAACAAAACATTACAACACTATTGTAAAATTTCAAAAACAACAAAAGAGCAGCTACCTATTATCCAATATTAGATGCTGGTAAACTATTTGCAAAAGCTATTGCCAAACAAGATCAAATATTATGCCTGGTGGTGTGTTCCTGCCGTGCCAGAGCGGCTGGATGTTACTGTAAGGGAGGGATGCGAGTGTGGCTGCCAGGATGACTCTACCCAGGTGAAACCCAGCAAAGAGCTGAGAACAAGCTGCTTTGGCCGGCTGGCCGGCAGCCTTCCCCTCTCCTGAAGCCTGCCTGACACTTCCACACAGGCTGGGGAGCAGGTGGCCCCAAGCTGCAGGATCAACCCACAGCTCTGCAGTAGAGAAAACATGTCCTAATGTACCTGTTTTATATACACTGAGCACATTCTGTAGCCTTTGTGGGGCAAAAATGAGACAAATCCTCCTCGGGCCGATGTTTTTACTACAGAAAAATGTTCAACCCTGTTTGTTTCAAGGGCGTCCAAAAGGCAAAAGCTGCTACAAATGAGCCACAATTACTCAGTTTAATTATTTCTCTATGCATTTTTGACCCCCCCCCCCCCCATCTCTGTTTCCCCTTGACACCCCCCCCCCTACAGCCATGGGAGGAGAACAAAAAAAAACAAAAACCGAAAAAACCAAAGGGAGCATTCAGATGGCCGAAATAATGTTTGCACATGATAAGCAAGCTTAATATAATGCTGACAATCACAACACTCACCCTGCCAACCAGAATTGGATCGCGTCCAGAAAATTCCTCCAGCACAAACATTTGATTCCAAACCCATCCTCTCTTGGCGCGGCTCAGTAATCTTTGTCCTTCGCCAAGACCGCTCGCCACCGCTGCGGGCCCACCAGTTTGTGTACTTCTGGACTGGCCTGTGATAGGAGTCATAGAGGCGGAGGAAACACAAGTAATCCACACCAGCAGCAAGGACATCCACAGATCCATAAGCATCTCCTTGGACCTCACTGGCATCCTGTCGTTGTTTTCTTCGCGTCTTTGTTTGTTTGCTTTATTGGACTCTTTCTTTGATCTCCACCTCTTGTTCCACGCCTCCCCTCCTCTCTTCAGATCAACAGCTCCTTCTTAGATAACAGGAAAAGGTTACTTGTGTCCTCTTTGAACGGCAGCGCTTGCATTCATGGCGTGATAAAGGTCACTCGCATGGCTTGGCGTGCCTCCATAGCAGTTGGTGAGGGGGTGAGGCTCCCAGCGCAGCATCCATTTGCTGTTACACCGAGGGGGAGACCTAAAAAGAAGCAATCACACTTTGTTAGTTGTCTGTTAGTGTAGTGAGGAGTTGTCAGGAGCTGGAGAAGGGAAAAGGAGGGGGGAAAGTGGAGTCAAACTAACATTTGAACAATTCACGTGTGACAAGCAGAAGAAAAGCAGAATCTGAGGAAGGAAAATACGGGAAATTCTCATTCCGAAGCTGGAAGTCAATGTGTCAGCTTTATTTTTACAAATCATCCATCTGTAGCTGCCTTGACCCTTCATCCCAATCTTGTTTTCACATTACCCTGCTACAACCGGACAACAAATGGGTGTGCCTGTACTCTCAGGCACTATCAGATTGCTTGGCTGTAATCTGTCCTTCTGGGGATTATCCCAGTAAGATTTTGAGGAAGCACATGTTGCTTTGTGATTAATGTTGTGCCAGTGCATGTCAGGACGAGACTACAATCAGATTCCTCAAGCACTGTAGTGGTTGCAGGGTTGAGGCAGAGCAACTGGCTGCAGGTGAGCCATGTCGACAGGGCTGCAGCTGCTGATATCTGAGTAATCCAGATGAGATCATAAAGTATGAGAGAGGCATGCTCACACATCTGATACAGGATATGTCTGGAACTGCTGTTTCTGTAAACACAAGCTTTTTGTTTATTTATTTGCAATCAAACAAATTATTAGAGAGGAGGACACATCGCTGGCGTTTGTGGAGACTTTGCCTTTAAACCAGCAGCAGCTTAGGAGGGTTTGGGTCAGAGCAGGAGGGCACCAACGGCAGGTTCGGAGTGAAGAAGTGATGCAGGTGGACGTGGCAGCGGTGTGCCCGGCGGCCGGCTGTCAACACCGTGTCACTGTTAGTTCGGATAACTTTTCCTCCACGTTTCAGGAACCCTCGCCGTTTGTCCCCACAGTGGCGTGCTGTTTCGGTAAATGCTTTTCCAAGGACAATAATCCGTGATGAGTTCTACCTGAAGCTTAATGGAATATCAGCGTGCGTGGATGGAGACGCGGTGACACTTAACTGGAAACAAAATGACGCGTGATCACAATGATTCCGATGAAATAATTAAAATAATTTGTAAATAAAAAATAAATAAATAAAACAAATTCAGCGAGTTGCTCATTATGGTTAATATAATGAACTAGAATACATATTTCACGTTGAATCGTGACCTTTTTAAATTATTTTTGCGTGTTTGCAGTCACTTTGGTGCGTCGCTGAGAGAACATTTCAGCACCGCCGGGGAAGGACAGCTCCGCGGTCCTGGCGGCTCCGGCGCAAACGAAGCGCCGGCAGCGGAGGAGCTGTCCAAGGTAGAAAGCACGCTCACAGAGGAAGAAGGTGTGCAGTTTGAAGCAACCCAACACATCAAAGCACTGAAAGGGAAATGTTTCCTCGTGCCTTTAACACCTTAAAGTGAGTCAACAGCGCGTACACCCTGCCCATCACTAAAGTTTCCCCTCTGAGCAACCACTGGTGCTGCTCCAGTCCCGTCTTTGCGCATCGGCAGTGTGGAACCAGAGCGCGCGAGCAGTCCGGTTTAGAGACAACGAGGCAGCAGCAGACAGCTCATGACGGGCGGATGAGCAGAATAAAGGTAGCCTAAGTTGCAAACCTTTCTGCAGACTGGCTGAGTCGCTCCTGGAAATGTGCAATACAACAGACGACCCTGAGATGCATGGACACGACAGGTCTGGTTCAACCCCCCCCCCCCCCCCCACACACACACACACACACGCACACACTTCACTGTCAGCAGCACCTGGTGTGCTTTAATTTAAGGCGCCGTGCACTTACTCAAGAGACTCGGATCCTCTCCCGCTTCTGCATCATTCTGTCGTTTTTTTGCTTCCACTTCCCTCAAAAAAACTCCATACGGGTTTGATCCTGGCGGCGGGGGCAAATGTGCAAAATTCAACTCGGTGCAAACAAATGTCAGAAGAAGAATTTTAAAATCCGTCTTGCGGTGTGTGAGAGCGCAGTGAGAGTGTAGGGAGCTCCGACGGGCTCGCTGGCCGACTGGAAAAGTGAGGAAGAGATGGAGGAGAGAGCTGCACGCGGGAGGAGAGAGCCTCCCTCCGCTGCGCTCATTGGGTTGATGAGGAGTCGGGTCAACAGGCGCACAAATGAATGCGCGGCGCTCAGCGCGGGCACGGACACGCAAGAAAGGTTATCGGCTCATCCCCTCCACAACTCTAGATAATACAAGAGCGCGTGCAGGCAGAACGTTCTCAGCACGTCCTCCATTCATCTCTGTTTTTCTCCTTCTTCTTGCAGCGCCACACGGGCGCGCGGGTTCCTGTTCTGGCTAATTGTGAGATTACTTAGACCAGTGAAACGAAGCCGAGGCTGCTCATAGGGTTAACCGATGAACAGATGGATACACACGATGTGGCCCACATGACAGGAAGAAAACGGAGGAACTCCTCCATCATTTCAGGCTCAGATCTTTTATGAGCACATGCCCATCTTTAAGTTTGAGTTTTGTCACATGGAAATCAGCTCTGAGCCTGAAGAAAAGGAAAATCCGTGAAGGACTCGTTAAATAAATCCCAGACTATTAAAAGAGAGCCAGAGAGGGAAGTGTGAGCCTATCTTATGAAGACAGTTAGTGAAAAGCTCACACTCATCATTGAATAGCTGAATTAGGAGTGTGAGTGGCAGCAGAGGGGGCATGCTGCTGTCCATGGAGGGAGCCCTCTAGTGTTTGTGCGGCTACTTGGCAGAAGAGGAGCAGGCCTGTAGGAGGGAATCCTTTAGTTTTCCTTTAAACCTTTACTAGCATCTCTGTGAATCACCAAAGCCTCCACATCCCTTCACCTGAACAGAAACAACCACATGTAACTTTGGTCTCTGATCAGATTTCTGAAAACAGGAAACAGCTCCTGGTTCCTCCGTGGGTCAATGCCTAGTTTGGGACTGAAACCAAGTGATGTCTGAGGGCATTCCCATAACAATTCCGCTTCTTATTCAAATGTAATTCCATTCTTAAAAATTATTTATCCAAGCTGATTCTGCATGATTATCTGATTTTTTTTGTTCTAGTTTAAATGCAGCATGAACCAGAACATAAAAAAGCACTGCCATGCAGGTTTAGTCTCCAGATTATAATACAGACCTACTTATTAAATCATGATACATTTTAAACTACTGTTCAGATATTGGTAACACAAATAGTTTCATTACCTGTTCACACACACACACACACACACACACACACACACACACACACACACACACACACACATATATATATATATATATATATATATATATATATATATATATATATATACTCATTAAATTTCAATACAACAATAGGAAGAAAAAGGAGGGACTTGTCTCCAGCAAGACTTTGATGCTACAGCAAAGGGCTAAATATCTGAGAAACATACAAATCCCTTTAGGGTGGTAGAGGTCTTAAGCATCTGATCAGATATGATGCATTATGTGTTGCATGCTTAAACAATGCATAGGAATGCCATCTAATATAACATGTACACACACACACACACACACACACACACACACACACGCGCGCGCGCGTACTAGTCACAAAATTAGAATATTATGACAAAGACATTACACACAAGCTGAAATATTTAAAATGTGTATTTATTTATGTTGATTATAACTGACCACCAATGAAAATCCCAAATATCTCAGAAATGTTGAATATTAATTAAGACTAATGCAAAAAAATTAAAAGGAATTGTAGAAATGTTGGCCAACTGATATATATGAACATGTACAGAACTCAGTATTTAGTTGGAGCTCCTTTGACCTGGATCAATGTAGCGTGGCATGGAGTCCAGCAGTCTGTGGCACTGCTCAGGTGTTATGAGAGCCCATGTTGCTCGGATAGTGGCCTTCAGCTCTTCTGAAATGTTGGGTCTGGTTTATTGCATCTCCCTCTTGATAATACCACATAGCTTTTCTATGAGATTAAGGTCAGGTGAGTCTGCTGTCCAATCAAGAACAGAGATACCATGGTCCTTAAACCAGGTACTGGTAGCTTTGGCACAGTGTGCAGGTGCCAAGTCCTGTTGGAAAATTAAATCTGCATCTCCATAAAGTTGGTCAGCAGCAGGAAGCCCAAAGTGCTCTAAAACTTCCTGGTAGACAGCTGCTTTGACCTTTGACCTCAGAAAGCACAAAGGACCAACACCAGCAGATGACACTCAACCCATCACTAACTGTGGAACCTTTAGACTGGAGAGACAGTCCCTCTGGCGTGGAGGCATACAAACCAACAGAAATAAAAATAAAAGGTTTAATACTTAGGCTACTTTAAATCTGCGAGGTTGCCATATTGGATTTGGAGATGAGGGCTGGTCAGGTTGATTTTGTTCTGGTTGGTTTTGTGGACCGGGAACTCTGAAATTCTGGCTTTTCAGGATAAACTAACCTACTTAATTTCATGTTTAATGTCACCACACAAAGTTGGTCAGCAGCACTAGACAAATATTACTTTTATACTCAAGTCCATCAGCTTTTGCTGATCCACGGTCTTTGAGGGCGCAACATGTTGTTCTTCATCGTCTTTAAACAACAGACCTGTCCTCACAGGCTTCCCTTGCTCAGAGGCTATTTGACCTAAGTACCAGAGATTAGCAATTAGCAAACATATTAAGTCAGCCATTATCTATTGCTGTACCATTTCATTTTCCTCCCCCTCATGCTTTGATGCTGCAGCTGCATTTCAGGCGGGAATTCTCCAATCATCTTTTTTAAAAGCCCTTGCTGCATAATGTATTAGGCTGTAAATGCAGAGCTATGTTGCTCTTTCTCCATGTGAATAAAGATTTCGTTGATGGACATTTGGAGCATATTGGATGTGCATGGATAGAGATATACGTTTGAAAACTGGAGTAGCTGCTGATCTCAAATCTCTCACTGCAGAGCTGAAAGAGGAAGTCTAGAAAAACTCTGATAGAGCTCCCCCCCCCCCCCCCCCCCTCTCTCTCTCTCTCATGCACAAACACACAAAAAATCCAAACCAAATATGTTTTAGGACGAAGTACAAACAAAGCCTCTGAAAGCATGAGTGCTAAAGTTAATTAAGATTTCACAACACACTCCCTACTTACAGATTTCAGTAATTTGCTGGAGTTCTTTAAATCTAGCTAATAAAGTTACTGTAGTTTTCAGAACAAATGTACATCACACATTATCTAACATAATGATTCAAACCCTAATTCATATTTAAAAGTGGTTGTCGATTAAAATATGGCCCAAAACCTTCAGGAGTGTCACTGAAAAAAACTTAAACATGGTGCAAATGTTCATTTATTTCAGTAATTTAACTTAAAAGTTAAAAAACTATATCAGACAGACTCATTATATGCTAATCAGATAGTTCAAGTCTTTATATGTTATAATTGTGATGATTATGGCCTACAGCTTAAGAAAACCCTACATTCAAAACCTCAGACAATTAGAAATGACACAAAAGCAATAAAACAATGATTAGAGAAATAGAGAAATGTCAGACCACTGAAAGAGTATAATCATGCGTATGTACTCTGTGAGCTTTTGCTTTTACCATATTATACTTTTTCATGTTTCATTTGTACTTGTTATGAAACATAAACTGTCCATTAATTGTTTTCTTTTTATTTATCTTTACAAACTACATTTTCTTTGACTTTCAAATACCTTAACCAACACTACATAATATCTATATTTAACCAAATATGTGAGGCCATTCTCCAGAGGCAGCATTTTCTTTTCATATCATATATATTTATTTACGTGTTTACCCCAAATCTGACTGATAAAAACAAATAAAACCATCCAGGAGGCAGAGAACAAACCAAGTAAAACAGTACATTTGTGTAAACTATCACTGCTTTCTGTACAGTAACCACGTACGAACCAAGTATTAGTAAACATCTTTCAGACAGCACTGACTTTTGAACACCAATCAAACGATGACTTTGTTACTGTGTTATGAAGAACAGATGAAAACAGCGAGACATCTCCACACAAACCCTACCTCTGCAAAAACGTGAAAAAATGCTAGCGGGGAACATCATCGGCCTCAGAATCAGCTTTGCCACATCTAATGGCACGTTCTGGAGGATTGACAGCTGGTGAATTTAAAATAAATAAATCACACCAAATCTCTTTTTGTGCCCAGGCTTGCGAAAATGAGACGGCTCCCACTTTAAATTAGTGATTAATTCCACTGACATGGCTTACTCCCGTGATCAAAACATCAGATGGCTTTGGAAAAGGCAAAGTAAGTGAGGGGGGAAGTGGATTTTAGAAGCCAAGCATTCTCAATCCATCATTGGTTCCTGCTTCGCTGGTGGTATTAATCACAGAACTGTTGGCGTGAGGGCTTACAAGTTTCCACCAGTTATGCTCAGAGAATCAGGAGGTTGGTGTTTCATTATTTATTTGTTTATTCGTTTATGTTATGTTTACATAACCGTTTTACTACTCTAGTTGATCCGCAGCTCTACCAGTGTGGTCTGAACACTTAATGATCAGTCTACCTTAAAGTACCGTTTGCATCAGTAGGTTAGAAGCTGTTTGCAAAGATATTTCTTCTTGATTGTTTTTGTTGCGTTTGGTGCTTTGTGGCGTTAGCCCTTCCTCATCCTCGGTAATGTGGGAAGTTTCATCTCAGACGTTACTGATGACATCACAAGCTCTTCCGTGAAGAAAGCTGTGAACTAGCTTCCTTGATAAAGTCTCAGGAGTATCTGCTCTGGAGAGAGAAAAGACAGTTTCTCACGAAGGAATCTCACAAACCGGAGGTCCTTCTTGGTTCACGGTGAAGAAAACAATATTAACCTCACACTCAAAACCGTTATCCACTCATCCACCAGAGGGAAAAAATAATTTCACTCAATAACAGCTCCATAGCTGTAAGATCATGAGGAACAACCTTGTGACGAGAGTCGCTTTAAAGTATTTTGAAATATAGAAAAAGTCCCTGAAACATTCAGAGCAATAATCAGAAAAGCCTCTAAATCGTTAAAAGTGTTAACTTCAAACCCACCGAGAGAATATCACCCTGACATAAAGGACATTGATAAAAATCTCACTATGAACTCGGTCAAGTGGGCCGTAGCGTGTTGCATCTACTTCCTTAAACAGAGGGACTTTGACCTTTAACCTTTGAAAAATGATATTGAGTTGCACTTTAATAACAGATCGGCGCTGGTTCAGTTACAATAACCTCCACCTTTGCCAGCGTGGATTTCACTCTGATCCCCCT